CAACGAAGAGGTTATCGAAAACGATAAGATATTGATGGTTTTTGTGATGATTATAGTTATGTTGAAGAGTTCCCGAACATTAAATTATGCTTGGGATTGGTTAAAGTCTAGTTGACAAATCTAGATTCCTCAAATTAGTTTCTTGTCCCTTTCTTTTACATCTATCTCATGTCCTAGTTCTCTCCTCTATCTTCGGGTATACAAGTGGATATGGCTTAACTTTTTCATACTATGAAAAATATCGCTCTAATATGAGGAATAATTTGATGATTTGATCAATAAAACGACAAATTCGAAAACAATATAGCATAATGTTATCATAATAGTTTTATTATGCTAATTAACTATCAATTATTTATTAGCTAATTGAATATCTTGACTTTTTTACTTCATTTAGGCATGGGTGTATCCATCAAGATGAAGACGTGAAGCAAGAAAGAAGCGAGAAAAAGAAAGAATCAACAAAGCCGATATTTCCGTATTTATTTCACATTTGACAAATATTAAAATAAGTAAAAGTTATATTAATGATCTTTTTTATTTAATAAAAACTTAATCTGTATATAACTATGAGCTTATTATTATTTTTTTTTTTTTGAATTTAAATTCATTTATTTGCTTATGGGTAAACCTTTTAAGTTGAGTAAGAAATGCTCTTAAACGATATTTCACCATTATGTGAAAAGGAAGTTGAAATTTAATTTATGGGTCATGATCATCTTCAATGTATTCTATGGATTGCAATCTTTGTGACATTTAAATAAATTGGTTTTCAATCAATGTGGCATAGATGTCAATAAATAGATGGTCAGGATTAGAAATGATCTCGAATGCGTCTCATCGATATTCCAATATTTTCACCTTTGTGTCTTTTATTAACAATAAAATAGAGTAAAAGAAAAAAAAAACTCCAATATTCTAAATAAAGAGACAAAATTAATTAAATTGCTAAGTTACAATGTCTAATAGAGAAATTTTTTTGGTTTTAGGTGGCCATGAAGAAATATTATATGAAATTGGATGGTCATGGTGACACTAAATATAAAGTTGAATCATCATAGTGAAATAAAATCAAATTGGATGGCCATGGTGACACTAAATTTAAAGTTAGGTGCCCATTGATGAATTTAACCTGCAGACTGATAATTCCACAACTGTTTTTATGTCACTTCGCTATTTGTAACGTGTTTTGATACATATGTCTTAGTACATATTATTTTCATGAATTCTCATTTATAAATGTTGTTTTGTATATAAATATATTATCTTATTTACTATTTGTAACAATTTCTTTATCATAAGGTTTGGTGACAGATGTTCATCGTCTCAATTATATAAAAAGTCAAAGAGTATTATCTTAGTTGTTATATTCAATAAAAAGGATTGAATAACAATGAATAGAAAAAACGTACGCTGAATCACACACAATAT